GTGTCTTGCAAAAGTGTACCCATTTGAAATATTTTTTAAATTCTTTTCTTTTTTTTTTTCAATGGAAATAGAAATTTATTAGATAGAACAGCCAAATTGGAAGAAAATTATTCTTCTTTTTTTTTACATTCTATCGTGAAGATAAAATTCCTCTTCCAAGGTCGTAACAGCGACTTTATGATTCTGGACGCGTAGTATTAATATTATATATTTCGAATAGTGGACAATTTGTTTTATTGTTTGATTGTTTAGACTCACACTGATGGTGCAACTATGGTAAATCAAATGTTAGCAAAACCTAATACAAAAATTATGTAATATAGACATCCACGCGTTCAGAACTATAAAGTCGCTGTTAGCACGCACGCATCCTCAGTTAATCAAATGATTAAGAAACTTTTGCCATTCTTCGAAAGAACTATCAGATTGCGTTTTACCTTCGTGATCATGAGTAGAATACAATGCAAAAGAAGAAAAAAAATTTTTTTTTTTTTGACCTTGAAATTCAATTTTGCGGCAGGTTCTTTACATGTATTTCCATCAAATCGAAGAATTGTAGATTCTAGAATTCATTTATAATAGCAAACTTTCAACCGTGTGCAACATCATTTCGAAAAGTGACCCAACTTTTGATCCCCTGTTGAACAAACACGTGGAGAGCTATATATTTGACACTAAACGTACCGGCATTTTACATATATATATCTCACCATAAAGGGTCATTTGATCCCTCATGAATAAACGTTGATTTTTAGAAAGAAATTCTTAATTTATTAAAGGAATAATTTGTGCAACATAACTTCTGATTTCTAATAAAATACTCAAACATATATTTTTATTCAAAGTAAATTTTGCTAATTTCTAGTAAAATACTACTCAAACATATATTTTTATTTAAAGTAAAGTTTGAAAAGGGGTCATTTGATTTCGCTTGGTACGTTTAGTATTAAAGAGACGAGTATATTCTTAATTCGTTACATGCTGTTGCATTTTGTTGTTAGACTTTTAATAGAAAGAAACCATCAGTTTTCGTCAAATTTTCTGCACACTCGAGTGTAAAAAGATTCAGTGAAAATAACTCTCAGAAGCTTGAAAATGGCTTTTAGAAAATTAACCGTGAGCCAGGTAAATGCCCGATGAGGATTCTCGCCACGACACGACAGGTGCCGATCGCGCCTCTTTTCTGGGCGTGGCCGTTTTAATACTTGGCCATTGATCGATTTTTCGTAGTGAATGGCTTTTCACCGGAAACTGGCTAACAGTTGACGTCTGACAAAATTACCAATAATCCCCCTCGGCTGTATCTATTTGCACAGTCCCGTTGCATCCTTGCTTTGTAAACGACGAGAATCGTTCAGTGTTTGCCAAGTCTT